TCCTCTGTAGTGCTGGGATTAAAGGTGTGTGATCCCAAATGCTGAGATCATCTTTGTGTGAGCTGTTTCTCTTTAGGACTGGATCAATTTCGTACTGTAGCTCAGTGTGACCTTGAACTAACAGATCCATCTACCTGAGTTCTGGGATTAAAGGTGTGTTTCTGGCTTCTGTGGCTTGAGTCTGACTTTGCTTTCTAAATCCTCAGATAAGCTTTAATAAACCATAAATAATATATCACCACAATACACCATGAAGTTTCAATGAGATATAAAGAAGAATGGAATTCTGCAGATGGAACTTGAGATCATTAAGTGAAATAAGTGAGACTCAGATAAACATGCTTTCTCTTATGTGAAAAATTGAGGGTTTTTTTTTTTTTGAAAGATCATTGAGTATAAGAAAAGCAGTGGGGGCAAGAGAAAAAAATGAGAGGATGAATATGAACAAAATTTGATATACATGCATGAAAATGTCATAATAAAAATTATTTTGGCTGGGTGGTGGTAGCTACGCCCTTAATCCCAGCACTCAGGAGTCAGAAGTAGGTGGATCTCTGTGAGCTTGACCTACCTGGTCTACAAAGCAAGTTCCAGGACAGGCTCCAAAGCTACACAGAGAAACCCTGTTACGAAACTCCCCCCCCAAAAATTATTATTTTATATAATTGACATCCATTTGCTTTTAATTTCAGTTTTTTGTTGTTGTTGTTTTGTTTTTCGAGACAGGGTTTCTCTGTATTGTTTTGGAGGCTGTCCTGGAACTCGCTCTGTAGGCCAGGCTGGCCTCAAACTCACAGAGATCCGCCTGCCTCTGCCTTCCGAGTGCTGGAATCAATCAGTATTTTTACAAGGCTTTTTACATTTTGATACTTGCATTAAAACAGACTCAAGGATAATGGAGCATAATACCTAGCAATAACGTATACCTTCATAATCAGCTAATTTTTGATAAGTGTTCAAGGATGTACATACATACAATGGTAAAAAAGATTCTTTAGTGAATGGTATTGGGAATCTGGGTATTCACAGAAAGGGAGGGAGGGAGAGGAAGGGTTAAAAAAAAGGAAATGGGAAGAGAACCAGACCTCTGACATGTCACTTATGAAAATTATAAATAGCTCAGAGACTAAATGTAGATCTCAAAATCACAAAACTCTAAAAAGAAAATATAAGGGAAAAATCTCTTTGGCATTATCCTGGTAATATAAGGCAGGAGAAGACAGGAGCTCACCCCCTTTCAGACTGAGATTTCGTAGAGGTAAGAACTCTAGTGGCTGGCTCCTCTGCTTCTCTGATCTTCAGTTTTCACCTAATATCTAACTCCGGGTTTTAATTAAGACGAATTAGATTCATGCTACAAATCAGTACATGAAAATAAAGTCAGTAATTTTTTTTCATTGGCCTGATTCTTGTTGATTTCTGGAAGTCAAAGTTCTGCGTGAATCATATGCTTGCTTGCATGTTGCATGCATGCCTATGGTTTATGTGTAACTTTGCATTACAGTAGGAAGTAGCCTTCTGAGTGCTTTACACAACTCACAGGTATGTAATACATAATTTCAACTTTGGTTGGAAAACAGGAGTGTTTTATAAACTTGAGAGCTGCAGTGTTCCTTCTAACTCTTCTCCATTTTTCCTTAGGCTTAGTTTCCTCAGATATAAAGCGCAAATATAATACACTGATCCTTAGTTTTCTGGAGATGCAAGAGGTATGGGTCTTTGGATCTCTGCCTGCCTGCCTGCCTGCCCGCCTACCTGCCTGTCTGCCTGCCTGCCTACCTGTCTGTCTCTTTGAATCTCTCTATTGTTCAGTGCTCAGTCTAGTTGATCCTTTTTTTTTTTTTTTCTGTTCTGTAGACAGCCTTGATGTTAAGAAGGGAGATTGCTAAAATGAGATTTGCCTTAAATTTACAGGGAAATAGAGTTTCATTTCAGGTCGAAAGCCAATATTGATATTCCTCCTTTACTAGCAAGGTCTTGGGGTTTTTTTGTTGTTGTTGCTTTGTTTTTAATAATTTATTGTGTATACAGTATTCTGTCTGCATGTACACCTGCAGGCCAGCAAAGGGAGCCAGGTCTCATTACAGATGGTTGTGAGCCACCATGTGGTTACTGGGAATTGAAGTCAGGATCTCTGGAAGAGCAACCAGTGCTCTTAACCTCTGAGCCATCTCTCCAGCCCCACTAGCAAGGTCTTGTATCTCCTGAAACTTAGTCCTTGACAATGGCTGCTTTTTCGATTATTATTTTTTTTAGTTGTTTCAGGAAGGAGGGTGACATCATCTCCACTGGCAGTTCTCTTATTGTTTCATGTATTCAACACCAAGATTTGTGTTTCTAATTTTTTAGATCAAAAAGTGGCTGGACATCCAAGATTACCACAATACTGCTCTCAATATGCATGTCAGTCGTAGAAATGAATGCAGTCTCAATTCCTATATTACTTAACTTGTTCATCATTATTATATACAAGAAAACTACAGCAAAAAATCAGTAATATGTAAGAGAGAAAGGGCAGCTGGAGAAAATGTTCATCTTATTTGCCAGGTATCATTTGCATGGACCTAAAACAATTGAGAAATCTCCCATAAGATTTTTTGTGTGTGTGCTCGTGCACACCCACCTTAAAGTCCAATAGAGATCATCAGTCTATCCATATTCTTCCCTCTTTCAAATTACTGCATTAGATATCTGCATGCAAAACTTTCGACATGCACAATGATGTCATCCCCAAACCACAAGATCTCCATGAGTACCTTTCTCCCACTCAACCTATCTAAAAGAGTTTAAAATCTTAGTTTAGAGCATCCTGAACTGGCCAATTATGACAAAGAGGTAATCTTCAATTAGAACAAAACTTTTAATGTGGATCTGAACTTCATCTGTCATTTTTACAACTGATTGTTGAGTAGCTGTCATATTTACTGCTTTTTCTGTTTTGTTTTGTTTGTTTGTTTTAAGGGAAAGTCTTGCTATATAGCCCCTGACTGGGCTGGAATTCACTGTGTAGACCAAAATGTCCATGCACTTGTGACAGTACATATACACAATACACAGAGGAGTACTATTAAGCTACAGAAAGAATGAAATATAGTTGCTTGTGAGAGTAGATGGAACTGTAGATTATTGTGTTAAGTGAAATAAACCAACCACAGAAAGCCAATAATCACATGTTGCTGATAAGTAGAATCTAAAGAAGTAGAATTCACAGAATTAAAATTAAAATAGTGATACTAGTAGTCTGGAAAGTAGGGAAGAGGTAGGGTGCAGGCGTATTGACCAATGCCTACAAAGTTATTAGGATGTGACTAAGAATCACTCCCATCGTATTTTACATAGAGTAACTATAGATAACAATAAAGTGATATGCTTTTTAAAAAGCTAGAAGAATATTTTTAATGTTTTAAACCAAAGAAATGATAACTGTTTCCTATGATTTCAACATTTCAGAATATATATATTTAATGAAATACCATGTTATCCCATTACATGGAATTGTTTTTAAGTACCAGTTAGTAAATACATCTAATTTAAAATGTCCTGCTGGGGATATAGCTAGGTGTTATTAGAGCATTTTCTGGGCATAAGTGAAACCCTGGGTTCAATTCCCAGTACTTTAAAAGAAAACCAAAAACAACAATGAGAACTCAGCATAGTGGTGATGCAGGACAAAAAGACATGGAAAATTCAGGGAACATGAAAATGAAAAGGAGTCCTTCACCTCAGATTAATGCCTCTGGCTGCAGAATTCCAACTCAGTAACATTTGTGGTCCCTCTCCCTCTCCCTTTCCTCCCTGTCCCTCTCCCTGTCCCTCTCCCTCTCCCTCTCCCTCTCCCTGCTTTCTCCCCTGTGTGTGCATGTCTTGCTGGTGTGTGTGTAGAGATCTGAGGCTGATGTCAGGTGTCTTCCTTGACTGCTCTTCATAATATTTATAGAGAAGGTCCCTCACTGAACCTAAAGGTCCTTGATTTTGTCAGTGAGCTTCAGGAATCTACCCGTGTCTGCTTCCCCCCCCCCCCCCCCCCTTCAGTGCTCAGGTTACAGACACACGCTACCATACCTTGCTTTTATGTAAGTACTGGGGGGGTCTGAACTTGGGTTGTCATGCTTGCATAGTAAACACTTTACTGAGTCCTTTCTTCAGTAATCTTTTGTATAAAAGTATTTTATGTTTAAAATGACATTGAACTAGGCTCAAGGTCTGGATGCATATGATCTCAGGTAGTCCTCGTTTCTTTCCTCAGACATTTTCTATCAATTTAAATGAGACTGTTAGCTTATGTTCTGTGAAGATACCCTACCTTCCTGCATCCTCATGATGTAGATTTTTACCTTGGCAATTGTAATTCTGCCCCTCAGGAACCACCCAGTGATTTATTTCATTTATGTTCCTTGGCAACCTTTCAAGGATAATAATTCCAAGAGCTATCAAAATGGTTTGTATAACTTTTTAAAAAGCCCTGCAACTTTTTTCTTAGAGAAGCACACAAGCATGTTCTGAGGTGTATCGTGCCTTCTGAGATTTCCCCACCGCCACCACCACCACAAACACCAGACAGGGCCGCAGTATGTAGTGTTGGCTGGCCTGAAACTCACAGACACCTGCCTGCCTCTGTCTCCCATGTGGTGGAATTAAAGGCGTGTACCACCCACCACTTCTGGCCTCCTATTTCTCTGTTAACCCTTATGATTAAGCTTATATTGATTGCTAATAGGTTATCTTTATTAAATCCCAACCTCTGCTTCGTACTGGCCAGTTCCGAATTTCTCTTCTGCAACAAAGCCACAGACCCATGTTGGCCTGAGTCGAGGTCCTGATGGGGAACTGCTCTGACTGCTCTACTGCTGCTGCATGTGACAGTCCAGCCGTGCTTCCTGCCTCTGTCCCCCATGTTGTGGACAGTTATATCTAATAGAAGTGAAATTTTGCTCAGCTTAAAAAGGATGTTTTGTGTGTAGCAGGACTTATTAATGTTCTTAAAATTTGTCTTTTGTTAGCTCCAGTTCCACCCGCAAGGCTAGCAGGGCAGACTGTCCCTAGGAAGCCCTGGATGCTGGCACCAGGTAGATGTCACAAGAGCCTGCAAAACCAGAATTGTGATCGGACACTCAGCAGCAACACTCAAAGGGTCCTACATGAATCTACCTGTTCTGTTCCCTGCTTCCAACCCTCCTGTAAGTTGGAACTTTGATCTAGAGAAGACAGAAATAAATGAAGTATCATCCACTCAGAAAAGCGTGAATTTTCCTTTTGCTTGTTTCTTTCCTGGTCAGTGTCTAGGCATTCTTTCCAGGCACGCTGAGATTTTTCACTCTTTTCCTGAAGTTCTCCTACTGGCTCTGTGGTGCTTGTCAATCTTTTTGGACCCTAAAAGGTAAAAACATGGTTTTTCTTCTTTCTGTGCTTTATCTCTCTCCTTCAGACATCTGCCTGACCTGTCGTTTTGCTTTTAAAGCTTAATAAACTTGTCCTTGACCACCCTTCCTTCCCTGTACATTTTTAAATTCCCTCCTTAATGAGACTAAGAATCCCAAAGGAGAGCCTCAGTTGCCATGGTGATATATAGGCCCCCCCAATGTGTTACTCCCCAGTTTTCTCCAGTAACATTAGTTTAATTTTTAATTAAGTTTTATTTATTTATTGTGGGGAGAGTACATGTCAGAGCATATGTGCAGAGGTCAAAGGACAATTTTCAGAAATTGTTTCTCCCCCTTCAACCTTGTGAGTCACAGAGATTGAACTCAGGTCCCTGGGCTTGGCAGCAAGTACCTTTAACAACTGAGCCAGCCCACCTGCCCCTTAGTAAAAATTTTAAAAAGACACAGGTATAAGTAGTCTAAAAGAAATTCATTTTTCTTTCAAGGACACACAGATTGAAAACAAAGGGATGGAAAAAGATACTCCACTCAAATTGAAACAAAGGGAAAAGAGACAGCTGTGCTTCTGACAAACAGAATAGATTTGAAGCCCCGAACCTAAAACTGAAAGGGGGGCATTATTTAATGATAAAATGGCCAATTCATCAACAGTGTGTAACAGCTGTAAAAATTGGAACTAAACACAGTAGCCCACACATGTAAACCTAGCACTTTGGAGGCAATTACAGTAGGTTCTAAGCAAGTTTAAGTCTACCATGGCTACAGAATAAGACCTTGTGATGGTTAGTACTAATTGTTAATGAGCCAAAATAAGACTTAGTGCTAATTGTTTTATTGAACAAAAGATTTAACTGTTAAACCTGCAGGCAAATCCCTTTCACAATGGATGTTTGTAAAAACCTACTAGTTTCACAGATCCCCTGACCTCCACATAAAAGAGACAGCTTTGGAAGGTACTGCCACTAGTTTCAGCCTCTTCCAGAAACAAGCTTGCCTCCTCAGAAACCAGCAGGAGGGATGAAAACATGTTTAAATAAGTTCTCTGCTTTGGAAAGGCTACTCACTTCTTAGAAGATCCAGGAGGTAACAAGGCCCAGCTAGCAGGCATGTGACATGGCGCCAGTTTTACAGGGCTTGTGTGGGTGCCTCGGAATCGGCAGTTTTTCATATCTTACACTCACAAAAAAGAAAAGTAGCTCGAAGTGGGCAGGGCACGCTGCAGTCCTACCCAGTCTCTCTCACCTTGACGAAAAGTCCAACTTGGGCTTCTTAGTTTCCTTAATTAAACAGAAGCTCAAAGACAATTTTATTAGAGTTGAAAGGAAAATACTCCAGGCCACACAAGCTGGGTCTCTACTTCCCCTGATATCACTAGGGAAGTGCTCCACATTGGGCTGAATTCCCAGCTTCCTTTTACTTCTTGTTATGAGACAGGGTTGCCATGGCTTGCCTTGAACACGCACATAGCCCAGCCAGGCCTTGAATTTCCAAGCAGTTGAGCTTAATAGGCTTGTGCTAACAGGCTTGACTAAAACCAACTATACAACCAGGAAAATAGACATAATAAAATAAAAAATATAGGTTAAAATATCAATGCTGTGTTTAACTCCTTGTGCTGTTTCAGTTAGAGCATCTGTGTATGGGCATAGATATTTTACATTTTAGAATGGTGTTCTGGCTTACCTTTTACTTTGGATCCAGACAGTGCCTCCTAAAGATATTACCACCTCTTGCCTTTATTTGCCATTCTTTTTATTTGTTCTTCACAGGGCTTCCCTTTGTAGCCTCAAACTCAGAGATCCGCCTGCCTCTGCCTCAGGAGTGCTGGGATTAAAGGCGTGCGGCACCACGCCCAGCTATTTGCCATATTTGAAATTGAAAAGTCCTGCTTTTCAATAGCATATATGACAAGAATTATGCATTATTGCTTCTTTACCCAGAAACTGTTTTTGTTGCTGTTTACCTCACCACTCACTAGGTTATTTAGTGACTTGATACTGCATTTTGTAATCGGTGTCTCTAGCAGTGCCTGACTTTTTCCCTTTGCAGTGTTTTATTCCTTTGGAGTTTTGTTCTTGTTGTTGTTGTCTTAATTGTTTCTGTTATTATCTTTTGAGTTGTTCTCAAATTCCTAGTCTGGTTTCCTTGGAGGTACCTCCGTGTCAACCTAAGGTATTGTTCACCAAGTGTTTGGACAGTCTAAACACTGCGCCCGTATGCCTGCTGACCTTTTCTTAGGAGATCAATGTGAGCACACTCAAAGTTCAGGCACTTGATAATGCTGCTGTGACATTTACTTTCTACTTGAGCAAGGACTCATTTTCATCTAGGGACTTACATGGTGCTTAAAAATTTTATTCCTATAAATAATATTGAGGTTTACTTTCATATTAAGTTAGCTTATTTAAAAACAGTTTGATCTCTTTGGATTTTACTTTTAAGCTTCATAAGATGAAGGCAGAGTAATAATTATTTTAGAATTTTTTTCTACTACTGAGGAAAAAAAAGTCTCTCTAGATTTCTTAACACAGTTTGCAACAAAATCTTCTATTCTGTGTGGTTGATCATTTCTGGGCCCGTATTGCCCCCCCTCCATAGAATTCACTGTGTGCACTCATTAATCAGTGCTAAGCTGGATAATTGAAGCCTATTGTGAATGTGTGGAGTTCATACCTGGAATCCAAACATCTGTGAGGTTTATGCAGGTAGATTGCCATGAATTTCAGGCCAACCTGGCCCACAGAGTAAGATAAAGAAGTCCCCTTTGTATTTGAAGTTCTCTCTCTAGCTTTCTCTGCTCCGGTACTCTGCCCAAAAAGTCTCCTTACCTTGGCTTCTGTGAATTTATAGCTTCCTCTAATCATTTATTCTCAAGTAATAGTACAATTGCTCTATCATTTATTCTTATGTTATTTCTCCCTTCTTTTATTAGGTAGAATATCGACTAGTATAATGTTCAATAGATTGTTGGGAAAATTCCCAATCTCATTTTATCACAGCCCAAATAGAATCAATCATTCACCATTTCTCTTTCAACCCCATTCTGAGTCAACAAATAATGTTTTTAATTTCAATGCATTTAATTTTTTCTAGACATAAACATACATATAGCTCCTTTTGTTTAACACAATTATTTTAACGTTGGTGAGGAAGCAAGAGAAACCCTTATACAGCTGGTGGGAACTTAATCAAGCCTTTGGAAATCACCATGAGGAGTTCTTAGAAAACTGACAGTGGAACTCAGGCAGAGTCGAAAGCCAGCTTACTAAAGGTTTCCGGCTCATCATGACATCTCTTCTGTTTCCCTCTTCATCATGACATCTCTTCTGTTTCCTTCTTCTTCTTCTTCTTCTTCTTCTTCTTCTTCTTCTTCTTCTTCTTCTTCTTCTTCTTCTTCTTCTTCTTCTTTTTTGTTGTTGTTGAGACAGGGTTTCTTTTTTTTTAATTGCAGACCATTTATTTTGCTTAATATATTTATATATAATGGAAAAAAAGACTTTAAAATATCAATAATGGCAGCAATGAAAGCCATCTGTAAGAAATAAGTACACAATTTGACATTTTCTTTTTTGTTGTTTTCTTTGTTTGTTGTTTTGTTTTGCCATTAAAAGTTTTGATTATATATTTAAATTAGAAATAATCTTGCTTTCCATGTCAGTCCCAGTTCCCTCTCCCTCCCCCCATGCCCACTCCCCCCAACCAGCCTCTCCATTCCCCCACCCAATCCGCACTCCGTTCCGCAGGGAGGGTAAGGCCCTCCATGGGAGATCTCTAGAGTCTGTCATTTCATTCCAGGGAGGGCCCAGGACCTCCCCCAAGTGTCCAGATTGAGAGAGCATCCCTCATTGTAGGATGGGCAGCCAAAGTCCATTTGTATGCCAGGGATAAATACTGATATACTACTCAAAGGCCCATAGATTGCCTAGGCCTCCTCACTGACACCCACATTCAGGGGGTCTGGATCAATCCCATGCTGGCCTCTCAACCATCAGTCTGGGGTCCAAGATCTCCCCCTTGTTCCCTTCCCAATCCCTACCCCATGGGATTCAAGCAATTGCACCAGTCACAGAAACAGCATTGTAGGGACTGTTTGAATAGTTGCTAACCATTGTATAAAGCAAATTCTTTTTTTTTTTTTGCAGTTTAAATTTAGATTAGAAACGAGGTTGCTTCACAAGTCAGTTCCAGGTCCCTCTCCCTTTCCCTCCCCTCCTCCCATGCCCTCTCCCCACCCTCCCCCCCATTATCCCCTCATTTTCCCAGGGAGGGTGAAGCCCTCCATGGGGGTGTCCATAGTCTGTCATTTCATACAGGGCAGGGCCTAGACCCTTCCCCAAGAGTTCAGGGTGAGAGTGCACCTCACATTGTTCTATGGGAGTCCAAAGTCCGTGTGTATACTTGGGATGGGTACTGATCTGCTGCCCAAGGCTCAATAGATTACCTAGGCCTCCTCACTGACACTCACATTCAGGGGGTCTTGATCAGTCCCATGCTGGATTCCCAGGCTGATGCCTGGGATTCAAGAGTTAACCTTTGTCAGGTCAGCTGTTTCTGAGGGTTAAACCAGCCCAGTCTTAATCCCTTTGGTCATCAGTCCTCCCTCTCTGTTACTGGCTTTCTTGAGTTCAGCTCAGTACTTAACCAAGGGAGTCTGCCTCTTCTTCGATCAGCCACTAAATGAAGTTTCTGTTTCCCAGACTCTCTGGCCATGGGATGGTAGGCTGGCACTCCCCAGATCTATGTCTAAAATCCATATATGAGAGAGTACATGCCATGTTTCTCTTTTTGTGACTGGGTTACCTCACTCAGGATGGTTTCTTCTAGTGTCATCCATTTGCCTGCGAATCTCAAGATTCCATTGTTTTTTTCTGCTGAATAGTACTCCATTGTGTAACTGTACCACATTTTCTCTATCCACTCTTAGGTTGAGGGACATCTAGGTTGCTTCCAAGTTCTGGCTATTACAAATAATGTTGCTATGAACATAGTGGAACAGACATCTTTGTTGTATGAATGGGCATCTTTTGGATATATGCCTAAGAGTGGAATTGCTGGGTCTTGTGGTAGGTTTATTCCCATTTTTCTGAGGAATCTCCATACTGATTTCAAAAGTGGCTGAACCAGTTGGCACTCCCACCAGCAATGGAGGAGTGTCCCCCTTTCACCACATCCTCTCCAGGATAAATTGTCATTGGTGTTTTTGATTTTAGCCATTCTGACAAGAGATGGTATCTCAGAGTTGTTTTGATTTGCATTTCCCGGATGGCTAAGGATGTTGAGCACTTTCTCAAGTGCCTCGCAGCCATTTTAGACTCCTATTGAAAACTCTCTATTTAGTTCTGCAGCCCACTTTTTAATTGGGTCCTTTGATGTCTTGGAGACTTGCTTCTTGAGTTCTTTGTAAATTTTGGAGATCAACCCTCTGTCAGATGTGGGATTAGTGAATATTTTTTCCCATTCTGTGGGCTGCCTTTTTGTCTTGCTGACTGCGTCCTTTCCCTTACAGAAGCTTGTCAGTTTCAGGAGGTCCCATTTATTAATTGTTGATCTCACTGCCTGTGCTAGTGGTGTTATGTTCAGGAAGCTGTCTCCTGTACCAATTCGTTCAAGGGTACCACCCACTTTCTCTTCTAAGAGGTTCAGTGTGGCTGGATTTATGTTGAGGTCTTTGATCCATTTGGACTTAAGTTTTGTGCATGGCGATAAACATGGATCGATCCGCATTCTTCTACATGCCAGCCTCCAGTTATGCCAGCACCATTTGTTGAAGATGCTTTCTTTATTCCATTATATATTTTTAGCTTCTTTGTCAAAGATCAGATGTTCGTACGTGTGTGGGTTAATATCCGGGTTTTCAATTCGATTCCATTGGTCGACCTGTCTATTTTTGTGCCAATACCAAGCTGTTTTCAGGACTATAGCTCTATAATAGAGCTTGAGGTCAGGGATGGTGATGCCTCCGGACGTTGCCTTGTTGAACAGGGTTGTTTTGGCTATCCTGGGTCTTTTGTTTTTCCATACAAAATGGATTATTGTTCTTTCAAGGTCTGTGAAGAATTGTGCTGGGATTTTAATGGGGATTGCATTGAATCTGTAGATTGCTTTTGGCAGGATTGCCATTTTTGCTACATTGATCCTACCTTCCAAGAGCACGGGAGATCTTTCCATTTTCTGAGGGATTCTTTAATTTCTTTTTTTAAAGATTCAAAGTTCTTGTGATACAAGTCTTTCACTTGTTTGGTTAGCGTTACCCCAAGGTATTTTATGTTGTTTGTGCAAATTCTTGTAATGAGTATTGTTCCATAACCTCTTCTACTGGCTCTACTCCTCACATCAGACCTCAATTGATATAGGAGTGATTTTGAGGCCAGGTACTTTCCTCTGTGTGACATTTTTCCTAATTTGTTCTGAGCCTAACCATACCTCATCCTGTCCCCTCCACACCGTGACTATAGCAAGTGGATGCACAATCATATTTTTCTTGTTTTTGTTTTGCGAGACAGGGTTTCTCTGTGGCTTTGGAGGCTGTCCTGGAATTAGCTCTTGTAGACCAAGTTGGTCTTGAACCCACAGAGATCCGCCTGCCTCTGCCTCCCAAGTGCTGGGATTAAAGGCATGCGTCACCACCATCCGGCTACACAATCATATTTTTATTATATATATTTAAAGATACTTTGACCTCTTGGGACCCAATTCGCCACCAAGTCCCCTATGAACTATCCAGCCAAGAGCTCATATCCACCAACTAACTGCTTTATGTTTTACTGCTTTCCTAATAGCATACCAGGAGCAGACACTAAGCAACTACAGAGAGACCTAACAATCAGAGTTTGGTGACATTATACATAGTTGTCAGTTCTAGGTCACTTCCCCTGCCATACTTAGTCTTTCTCATAGGAAACATAATAAAGACCCACACCACATTCTTTCTCTCTCACTAGATCAGCCTAGGCATTTATGTGGCCCTTTGAGGCATACTGTACTATTTACATTTGGAAATTAAAAGTGATTAACTTTTGTTTTCAAGGCATTTATTTCTGTCACTTCCCCATATCTGATTAAAACATATACTGGATACTTTTCAATAAGGCAAAATTATAGTCTAATATAAAAAGAATCTACACAGATTGCAAATTGTTCTGATACTCAAGGTGATGTTGTTAAGCATGCTTGTTTTCACCAATATTCAAGACACATGGAGATACTGAATTTCTTGCTAATTTCTCTATCTAGCCTATGAGAAGTAGATCTGTACAGAAATATAAATGTTTGGAGGGAAGTTTGACATCACTTTAAATTCCCAGAGCTACATATCTGAGAATAACAATTACATGAGGATTCCCAGTGATAACAGTCAAGTCATAATAATATAAGAGCTCAACCTTTACATGCATTGGTCTCCATGGCTAGAATAGTAGGGTATTGTATTGATGATGTCATTCATGACAGAATAATGAACCCTGGGAGAGTTGTTCCCAAGAGTTCACTGTCTTTTCAACTCGACGTGCCAATGTTTTTAAGGAAATTGCGTGTGTATTTTCCTTCCCAACCACTGGATGTCAAAACCAAGTTTTACAACTCAGACAAGGATGACTTGTTTCTTGAAGTCAAGATTGAAAACATTTCATCTTCAACAGTGTTTATACGAGAAGTTTCCTTGGAGCTACCTGAAATGTACACCGAAGAAGCATTAAACACTCTCAATATGGATGGAGAAGATGAGTGTACATTTGGAACCAGGACATTTTTGCAGGCAGCAGAAGGACGCCACTACTTATACCACCTGCGGGTCAAGGAGGAATATTTAGAGAAAGCAAGAACCCTTAGTGGGCCAACAGAAATGGGGAAGGTAGAGATCCTGTGGAAAAAGGAACTTGGAGGAATTGCAATGCTACACACAGTCCCGCTTCAAAGAGAAGCTTCAAGTTGTGGAGAACTGCAGCTGTCTTTGGAGACAATTCCAGATACTGTAGCCCGAGAAGAACCTTTTCAAATTACCTGCAAGATAACCAATTGCACTGAAAAGAAAATGAAACTGCTCTTGAAAATGTCTGATACGACTTCTATCCGTTGGTGTGGTTGTTCAAGAAGAAACCTTGGTAACTTGCTGCCAGGTTCATCTCTCTCATTTACCCTGACACTACTGTGCTTAAAGCTAGGCCTGAGGAAAATCTCTGGCATACGGATAATAAACACAACAACGAAGACCAAATATCGTTATGATGGTGTTACAACTGTCTGCGTAGTGCCTTCCATGGTTAAAATGCAAAGCTAAAGAAAACTTCCAATGTGATAGTTTTCAAGAAGTTTCCCAGAACAACTTTAAATCTCGTATCAGCCCAAAAGTGATCAACTAACAATGACTATAAGGGGAAATTATTTCTGCCGAGAGTGTTTCTACCTTTCAGAATAAAACAATTGTTGATTTCAAAAACAACTTGCCAGTGTTTGTCTTATGTGAGGTACCACATCAGTCTTGATCTAGAGTTTGTGGTAATGTTCAGTGCTCACTATCCTATCTCTGTCCCACTTACAAGGTATCTCTCCAGAGTATGCTGCCTGGGATTGAGTAGAGGGAATACACACAATGTGAAATTGTCCTTCCAACTTTATTTCTGATTTCTATGCTATACTCTCTCACTTGGTGTCCTTATGCCTTGGGAAAGTATTTTCCTGGGTGAAATGATGTTTGAATTGATGCTCCTGTGGGAGGAAAAAGAAAGGAAGGTCCTATTCCATGTCTTGGTAATGTGACCCTGAAGTAAATTAAGCAGTGCATTTCTTTATAAAGGAACTGTTTTGCTGACCTGAACAAGGGAGAGATCTTGGACCCCAGACTGATGGCTGAGAGGCCAGCATGGGAATGATGCAGACCCCCCTGAATGTGGGTATCAGTGAGGAGGCCTAGGCAATCTATGGGGCTTTGGGTAGTAGATCAGTATATATCCCTGGCATACAAATGGACTTTGGGCGCCCATCCCACAATGAGGGATGCTCTCTCAATCTGGACACTTGGGGGAGGTCCTAGGCCCTCCCTAGAATGAAATGACAGACTCTAGAGATCTCCCATGGAGGGCCTTACCCTCCCTGGGGAAGGGAGTGGGGATTGGGTGGGGGAATGGAGAGGCTGGTTGGGGGGAGCGGGCATGGAGGGGAGGGAGAGGGAACTGGGACTGACATGGGAAGCAAGATTCTAATATTAGTACAATGCATTTTGGTCATATGTATTCAACACTACCTCCCTCTCACTCTTCTTAGTGTCTTAAACTCCATCCCGCCAACATTATGTCCTCTTTTTAAAAGGTAAACCTTTAATATTCATACATGCATTAATGTGTTTTACTCTAATCCACCTTCCTCTCTCAAGCCTCACCAGAAAAGCTTCTGTAAGTGATAGATGCCAATTAACACAAAGACCCATAACTGTTCAATATTCAGAGACAGAGAAACTGGAGTGTTTAGTCCTGAGTGGGACAAGCAATAAACAATGCAAAAAGAATTTGTTTTATTCCTAAGTGAGCCAGGAGATATATACAAATCTGTAGCATTTCTGTTATTTTTGTAGATAATGTACTCATTAATTTTTCAATGTTGAGAACTTATTCTTTCTTTAATAAAAGAGTAGCAGCAGACACACACTTCAGAGAAAATTAAAGCACCGAAGAAGGCAAAACTCCCAAATTGTTTAGATTACAGATTTTCTTTCCATGAACATCCTCCAAACCATGTAAGTTTATAATCTCAAGCTAATAATGGTTTAATGTGTCAAATGATTTGTTTTTCAGAAGGAAAACTATGATATTAATAACATATAGTAGTAATGAAGACAGACATCTTTCTGTACTGCTTATTACTTAATATATTAATCTACTTATTTTTAATTTGTTTTTATAATTATTCTTTATTCTTTTTTGTATAATTATTCGTACCAGTAACATTCTTGCCTCCATTTTTTTCTTTTTTCTAATGCTGCATTCTGGTTTCGCTTGTTGATGATTCTTTGTTTTTTGTTTGAGACAGAGTTTCATATAGCCCAGGCTGACCTTCCAACTTGCTATGTGACAGAAGCTGATCTTGAACTCTTGATCCTCGTACCTCCCTAGCACTGGGATTACAGTGCCACCACACCAGGCATGGGTTCAGTTTAAAGAACTTCTTTTAGCATTTCTTGTAGAACAGGTATGGTTCTCAGTTTTTGTTTGTTTGGAAAAATCTTTGTCACAACTTTCTTTCTTTAGAAAATGCTTTACTGGATGCAGTATTCTCAATTGGTGCAATATTTTTTCCTTCAGTACTGTGCAAACTTATGCCACTTTCTACTGACCTGTGGAGTGTCTGCTGAGAAATGTATTGTTGCACAAATTGGACACCATTATGTGTTGTTTATTTTCTCTTGTGGCTTTGAATATTTTTATCTTCATGTTATGCCTTTTTGTTATTATTATTTTTCTTCTTTTTTTAGATTTTTCTTTTTTTTCCATAAGGAAAAACTGGAAAGCATTCTTTTTATTCTTATTGATTATTTTAATTTTAAATAGCTTGTTTTACATGTCAATCCCAGTTCCCTCTCCCTCCCCTCCTCCTGTTCCCTCCCACTATCCCCCCCCCCCCCCGCCTCCCACCCTATCGCCATTTCCTTCCACATAGGTGATATCCAGAGTCTGTCATTTCACTCAGGGCAGGGTCCAGCACTCCCCTAAGAGTCCAGGCTGAGAGAGCATCCCTCCTTGTGTTATGGACACACAATGTCTGTTTGTATGCTAGGGATAAACACGGATCCACTGCCCAGGGCGCCATAGGTTGCCTAGGCCTCCTCACAGACTCTCACACTCAGGGGGTCTGGATCAGTCCCATGCTGGCCTCCCAGCTGTCGGTCTGGGGTCCAAGAGCTCCCACTTGTTCAGGTCAGCTGTCTCTGCTGGTTTCACCTGCCCATTCTTTGCCAATTTGCTCATTGCTCCTCTCTCTTTGTCACTGGGTTCCATGAGTTCAGTTCAGTGTTTAACTGTGGGTGTTTGCCTCTGCTTCCATCAGTCACTGAATGAAGGTTCTAGGATGGTATATAGGGTAGACGTTAAGTTCATTATCAGGAATGGGCATTCGAGGTGGTCTCTCCACTATTGCTTAGCTTGCCAGTTGGTGTCATCCCTTTAGATTACTAGAGGTCTTACTGGTGCCAGGTCTGTCTTCTAACCTATGAATCCCTCTTCCCCCTATTCTACCCCCCACTCAACCTTCCTGTTCCCCCATGACCTATTCTCTCTTCCTCATCTCCCCCTCTCTTCTTCCCAGCTCCCCCACCCACCCACCCCTGGCTGTGTTCCCAATCTATTCAGAAGATCTTGCCTCATTCCTCTTCTCTGGGGTACCATGCACATCTCTCTTAGGCTCTTTCCTGTTTCCCAGACTCTCTATCAGTGGAAGTGCAGACTGGCACTATCCTGATCCTTGTCTAAAATCCATATATGAGTGAGTACATACCGTGTTTGTCTTTTTGTGACTCGGTTACCTCACTCAGGATCGTTTCTTCTAGTGCCATCCATTTACCTGCGAATTTCAAGATTCCATTGTTTTTTTTTTCTGCTGAGTAATACTCCTTTGTGTCAATGTACCACATTTTTTCTTTATCCACTCTTCAGTTGTGGGGCATCTAGGTTGCTTCCAGGTTCTGGCTATTACAAATAGGGTTTCTCTGTATTGTTTTGGATGCTGTCCTGGAATTTGCTCTGTAGAACAGGCTGGCCTGGAAGTCACAGAGAACCGCCTGCCTCTGCCTCCTGAGTGCTGGGATTAAAGGCGTGAGCCACCAACGCCCAGCCCTCATCTTCTGTTTTTTAGAACCACTATGGTTATCTTGGGTTCCCTGGGATTAATGTTATGTTTTATGACCAGGTAATTAGCAACCTTAATTTCATACACTACATTGATTTCTTTCTTTTCATAGAACATAATGTGTTTGTAGGATCTGGTAATTAGTGTGTGGATGTATTTGAGAGGATGTTATTCTGCTTCCCTGTATTGTATTAACTTTTGCTTAATATAATTCACTATTAGGCTACTAGGTATATGCAGATTTAGAATTGTTATGTCTTCATAATGGAGTGACACTTTCATGGTAATCTAATGTCTTATAATGTTTATTTAAATAGGCTCATGTTACCTAACGTTATGGTTACCCCAAAACAATTTTGTTAGTGTTTGCATGACATATTTTTCTATTGTTTTACCTTTAATATTTCTGCAACGTCATATTTAAGGTAATTTTCTTGTAGGTGACATTTTTACTTTTCTAATTTCATGTAGTTGGTCATTGTCTTATTTATTGTAGTTTGTAGCATAATCCCATTTAATATAATCATTGGAGTATCTGGTAAACATCTATCAACTTACTCCTTGCTTTTTTTGTCTCACATTCTGTCTCTTGTATTCTCCTTTTTAAATTTTCCTTTTCAATTATTCGAATATTTTCTTATTAGTCCTTATATATCTTTGTACTAACTTTTATTTCAGTTTCTAGTGATGGCCAGCTCCTTCCATCTACTTATGCACATGTGTCTCCATTCTTCAAGAGTCTGAGCTGGCACGGGCAGTAAACCCAGCAGCAAGGACAAGAGCATCACAGAAGGTATACCTGGTTAACTTAGCAAGGCTGTTTCACAGTTTAAAATCAAAAGGGCTCTGGCACAATGCAAAAGCAAAACATTGAGCCCTGGTATAGTTTTTTTGTAATGTTTTTATTTAAATTAGAAACATGAATGCTTTACATGTCAATCCCAGTTCCTTCTCCCATCCCTCCTCTCTTGTCCCTCCACCAGTCCCCCAGCCCCTCACCCAATCCCCACATCATTCCCCAGGGAGGGTGAAGCCCTCCTTGGGGGCATCTCTAAAGTCTGTCATTTCATCCAGGGCAGGACCTAGGCCCTTCCCCATGTGTCCATGCTGAGAGAGCATCCCTCTATTTGGAATGAGCCCTGGTATAGTTTAACCCAGTGGTCAGGATTTGTTAACAAGAGCTCTGATCTGTCTACTAATCTGAACTCTTGAACAAAGACTGATCTCTCTGTTTATGAACAGCATAGCAAATATGTTATTAAAAAGAACTCAGAACTTTTGTCTCAGTCTTTTATAGGAGTTTCACAAGGGAGGAAATTAATTTTGTATCCTGTTGACTCAGACTAGCACAAAAGGCCACACAGTCGTTATCAATTTATACTTTTATCTGTTGACTTCAGCATTTTTCTTGATATGTGAATGTGGTGGGGGGGTAGGCATTGTTTCAATCTTAGGGCTAACCACACATGCTATACACACAGGCATTGTTCTGAATAGGGTGTGAATGGGTCACAAAGGAAAAATAGGGAACATGCTACATCGGAGTGTTAAAAGCATAGTAAGATTAATCACAGTGTTTTTCTTAGAAGTTAATTCTGAACAGGTTGAATAAATAGTATGTAAGCAGAATGTCATCCTTTTTAGTACTGGGTATTGAACCTAGGATCTCATATACGCTTAGGCAAGTGTTCTATCATTGAACTATATCCCTGGCACTGTGGGAATGTTTTTCCTTAGAAATGCTGTTTGAAGTGTGGCTTCACAATCAAACTTTCACTCAACCTGTAACCGAGTTAATAATGTGATTTGAGATCATTTATCACTATAAAAACAGTTGTTTTAAGCCTCTAAGTTTTGAAATATGTATTAACATTATATTATACATATAACAGAAACAGCCTCATCTTTATGCTTATTATTACTGTATATTATTGACTTGTTAATTAGTTTAAATTGTTAGTTTTATTTCTTCCCAGATAATGTAAAGACCTTAGAACAGTCTCCATTTCCCTTTCCACCTCTCAGTGCTATTCACTTTGTTGTATAATTGAGTTAACAATTCTATATATTGGTTGTAAGTTATTTACTTATTCAGAAGAGGTTAGAATCCATTAGCTCAAAAACTTGTTAGTTTTGGGGGAAGTTTTCAAAAGCCTGATGATGCCAAACTCAAATATTTATATATTCTATTATTTCAAATGGAGCATGCCAAGATTTTTAGTTATTTGGGGATGAGGCATTCTATATCCACTATGAAACTGTAGCAAACATTTGCTAACCCTAGGTAAGATAAACTCTGGGCTAGAAGATGCTAAGCTACTACTACTACAACAACTACAACTACTACTACTACTACTACTACTACTACTACTACTACTACTACTACTACCACTAGCCTCCAGACCTCTGGTCCAGAGATTCCCTCGTGCTTCTTAAACCTGGACATATAAGTCTGATCTTACATCTTATTCTGATTCTCTTCTCCCCATGGAAGTCCTTGTCCCCTTTCTTTTGGGTTGATTCCCTTCCCTTAGCCTTCTCCTATAGCCCCTGGAAAGTTTCCTGCTGAGCCTGCACTCCCACCTCAGCCTAGTCATTTCCCGACTCTCAGCATGAAGACCTGGCCCTGTAGCTAACCTGAAGTTCATTGTCTGCTACTGCCACCTCGTGGTTGTCTCCCTCCTTTAAACGTAACTATATTACTCAAAGTACCAAGTAGTAAAGAAAAAAGGGCACAGCTGGGTGATGATAAGGGGTTCATCTGGTCAAAAGGAAAACTAATTGGTAAAAACTGTCCTGAAGATCATAAATGATCAGGACTCACATTTGGGATGTGTGTGCATCAGTTGGATATACATGTTCCGTGCTGTTTTGTACTCCAGTCTCCCTTTGTGCCTCATGAACCTGGCCAAGTAGTAGCACCGTATTTTGCAAAACCTCACACAATCAGAATTGGTTTTGGGTGTCTACCTATCTAGAGAGGGGAGTCGATCAGCGTGCCTGGGTTTCATGTAGGCAGGCAGTGGACCTGAATAGGATAAAGGAAGGATGCCTGCCTCTGAACCAAGATTGGCTTGCCTGCTGACCCCATAATGAATATTTGGGTCACTCTGAGAACAAAGGATATCCTCATTCCCATAGATAGTATGGCAAATACAAGATAATAGAGCTGAGGCCAGTTTCCTAAATTTACCTCTAGTAGGTACCTCTAAAGAGTTACTTTACCTGTGAATATATACACTTGCATTTGCTGTTGCAGGTGGCATCATTCCTGTCCTTCTTCCAAGGGATATTGAGGCTCCATTGCTTGTGTCAAGCCAGCCAAAACTTTTTAAGCTGACCAAATATAAAGTTTTATTCCTGGCCCTCTGAGGCCTCTGCAGAGATGACCATCCATGTGAACCACCAATCCAAACGACCAGTTGTGTGCTGGGCTTTGTTATAGACTGCTTCTTACCAGGACACTGTATGGAGCCACTGTAGGATCTTAGGCTTTGTGTGGAAAGGTACTGGGGAAGAAAACTGCTGTCCTCTGTAGAAAAAGGCAACATAGTGTCATCATGATAGTGGTGAAGATATGATTTATGCTGGCTCTCTGTGTATGTGTGTCCAGCTATTTAAAATACAATTTTTAGATGTCAGCAGAGGCAGACAGATCTCTGAGATTGAGGCCAGCCTGGTCTACAGAATGAGTTCCAGGACAGCCATGGCTACACAGAGAAACCCTGTCTCAAAGCAAACAAACAAAATGTCAGGCATGGTTGTTAATGCCTGCAGTCCTAGAACTTGCCAAGAGTTTGAATCTAGGAAGACATATCCATTCCCCCCCCCAAACTTAGTTTGTTCATAAGTACTTAAATATTGAATCAAGCAAAAAAAGTGGCTGCCTAGCTGTATGGAATTAATCTAGTTAGGGCAAGTTTCAATAACCAAGGCTATAAAGGAACAGGTAGTTTTTCACAGCTAGACCTCTCTGTCTCTCTCCGTCTCTGTCTCTCCCTCTCTCCTCTCTCTCTCTCTCTCTCTCTCTCTCTCTCTCTCTCTCTCTCTCTCTCTCTCTCTCTCTCTCTCTCTCTGAGATCTGCCTGTCTCTGCTGTACAATAGATCCCTTGAGCTTATTCATTTTATCTAACTGAAATTTTGTATCATCATTGTGCATCATTTCTCCAGTCCCCCTTCCTGCCTAGCCCCTGCTGACCATCCTTCCACTTTCTGCATCCATGCTTTCAGCTGATGTGATAGTAACGTCTGGAGGGCTGCTACATCACATAAGACCTCATAACAGACTGTCCAAATGGTCATTCTCAATTGCTAGCCAAAGCTAAATCTTCCTCAGTCAGCTTGGATGGAATTGGTTTTACAGCATGATCATGTGGCAGCCCAGAGGAGGCCGAATTCAGTCCACCCAGTTGTTTCTGATAGGGAGTTCTGACAAATGGAAGTCTTCTATACTAGTATAGATGGCTAATATGACAACAGTTCAGTAGGTTGTGTATGCTCTGGATTTAATAAAAGCTCACAAACAGTGAAATCAGAGTAAAATGTTACTGAATAGTTCTAATAAACATTACCCTGTTTAGTTCAAATCAGTTACTGTAAATAAATGACAATATCCGACTCTTAAGTCAAACAACCCATTCCCAGCCAAGACTGTTTATTTGTGAGCCTGGAGATGAAAGGGGAGGTTACAGAGTACTCCAAGGGACTAAGAGGTCCTAAATTAGATGACACCTGTTAAACCAGTAGGCAGGCAAATTGTTACGCTTTTTTTTTGGTTTAGAGTGCAATAGCAGGTTTCTGCTTAAGAAACAGTCTAACTTCTTGCCTGCCTCTAATTTATGCTAGTGGACCCTTCAATACTAAAGGAACTAGTGATACCTGAAGCAGGCTTCCCTGGCAGACAATCATTCTTTATACCATGTTAATAGTTTGGGTTCCAAAATAGACAAGCAACAGTGGCTACATCTATTTGCCATAGATATCCAACCAGGAAATATCATTCTTGGGGAAAAGATAATAATAGTGACGGCCTGATTAACTATAAAATTGTCCCAGTTTCATTAGGAGATACCTGTATTCTGATTGTTGTCAACAAAAATATCCGGTGTCTAGTTATTAGAATGGAGTGGGTATCTCAGATAGGAGGTAACCTGTTCAGACAATGCTTGTATGTTACTGGTAGGCACTGTCTGGTAGAAATCCATTAACTGGAGGTGGAGAGATGGCTTAGCAGTTGAGAGCACTGGCTGTTTTTCCAGGGGAAGATTCCAAGCATCAGCATGGCAGTTTCCAACAGTCCTTAATTACAGGTACAGGGGATCCAGCATCCTCTTCTGGCCTCCTTCAAAACCAGACTCATATTCAGTCCACATACATTCAGGCAAAACACATATAATTAAAATAAATCTTTTTTAAAAAATCAGTAAACCTTCCTAACTAGTAAAAGTAACATTGGGCTGGAGAGAAGGTTCAGTAGTTAGCACCGACTGCTCTACCAGAGGACCTGGGTTCAATTCCCAGCACCCACATTGCAGTTTACAACTATCTATAACTCTAGTTCCAGGGGACCCAACACTCATGGCAAAATACCAATGCACATAAAATTAAAATATATTTTTTAAAAAGGTGGCAAATATGCCACAGTACTTGTTAAGTCTAGGAATTAAAAAAATATTGTCTATCATAGGGCTACCTATTCTTATTATGTGACTATTCAATTCTCAATGTGGCCTGTGCTTAAATTGGTAGCTAGGAAGAATTTAAAAGGCTGTTCTGTTCATTAGTGAACACCTACTGGAGATTGTTAACCTTAGTGAATGTCATTTTAAAAGCCTGGGTAAATAGTTGTGTCTTAACTGATATGTTCTATGGACTGAAACTTTCATAAGAAAGACCTTTTTTTCATTCAAAAGACAGTATCACACTTTTCACTGTTATCCATGGCATACTTCAATCATGCTGGAACTACACATGCCCCACAGTCTCACTAGAAACTCAGTTTGGGCATTACATCAATTGTCTCAGTCTCACAGGATATCACAAGTATGAGTATACCTAGAGGAGATGAGCAATTGCCCTACATAAGGCAGTTAGCCTTGGAAGCTAGATTTAGAATGTTATTCCCAATCTCACAAAGTATCATTTCCTAACCTTTCTTCTTGGTAGGACCAGTATTTGACAGGAATGTGTGGAGTTAAACGTCAATGCACTCTTCACCTCCAATACCTGTTGACTAATTGATTACACCATCTGTAATTCTGCCACTTTTCAGTGGGAACTTGAACAGCAGACACTAGATAAACTTCTTTTAGAAGGCTATAATGTTGTCTCTCCCAAAGCCACTCAGGGCAGACATACAATGAAAAATTTTAGCCACCCATAATTTGCTTCCTTTGGACTAAATGTACATGTAAATATATATTCATGTGTCTGGTATAGGCAGCTTCCATATGTAACCCAAAGGGTATTTACCATTAAAGAAGGAGGGTCTAGCAGGGGATGTGGTGACTCACACCTGTAATCTCAGTATTTGGGAGGCTGAAGCCAGAGGACTTTGAGAACAGCCTGGACAACATAATGAGAGCCTGTCTAAACAAACTAATGATACAAACAGCCGAACAAAACCTAAGAGTCAACTATTAGTGCTATATCAGGTCCTTTTCAAAATTCTAGTAGTTATAGTGGTAGAGCCAGGAACCCTAGGAATTGAGGTTTTAATTCTGCTTTGAAAAAATGACTAATCACTCACAAAAATAGATTGGCACAGAGTCTTTGTTTATGAGGTTGGGTAGGGTTTTAGGTTGTTTTGTTTTGTTTATTTTTTTTTGAGACAGGGTTTCTCTGTGTAACAGTTCTGTCCTGGAACTCACTCTGTAGACCAGGTTGTCCTTGAACTCCAGAGATTTATCTGCTTCTGCCTCCTGAGTTCTGGGATTAAAGATGTGGGCCCCCATGTCCTGATTAGTTTTTCTTTTTCCACAATAATACTATTTTACTTGACAAATTAATATAATTTAATAGATTAATAAATTTAATAAAATGATTTATTAAAGCTTGCCTGCAGATTCAGAAAGCAAAGTCAGCCACAAGCTATAGAGGCCAGGCAGTGGTGATACACATTTAATCCCAGGGCTCAGAATTAAGAGGTAGGCAGATCTGTTAGTTCAAGACCACACTGACTACAGGAAATTGATCCAGTCTTAAAAGAAACAGCTCACACAAAGATGATCTCAGCACCTGGGATCATACACCTAAATCCAGCACTAGGGAGGTGGAGACAGGAGTGATATGGCTGGGCAGAGAAAGGAATAAAAGGAGGAAAGGAGGAGACAGGAATTGATAGCCTTTTGCCTCTGAGGAGACAGGATTGCCATTTCAGCTGTGTAGAGATAAGATCTACTGGCTTGGCTGCTTGGCTTCTTTGGTCTTTAGATTAAAGCTTGAATCCCAATATCTGTGTCTGGGGCTTTTATTATTTGTCCTATAATTGGTGCCCAATGTTAAGGCAGACCTAGAACCAGAGTTCAGGAACATATATGTGTATGTTTGCGTCTCAACTATCAAAAATTTTTTAAAAAATGAAAAAAATTGTTGTGGATAAATCTGAAGTCTGAAAGCTATTCTAAATAAAATAAACCATGCACAGAAATACAAATTCTGCATAGGGCTGGGCATTGGTAGTGCACGCCTTTAATCTCAGCACTCAGGGGGCAGAAGCAGGTAGATTTCCATCCTCGTCTATGGAGCAAGTTCCACGACTATAGAGTGAGTTCCAGGGCAGGTTCCAAAGCTACACCCTATCTCAAACAAACAAACAAATAAATAAATAACAATTTAAAACAAATGCTGCATGGGTTCATTCATATGTAGTAATTTGAAAATTGAATTCATAGGAGTTGAATGTAGAATGCAAATTACCAGAGGTTTAGGGATGGGTAGATATGAGAGACAGCAGGAAGTTTGAGATTAAAGGATACAAAGTAACTTACAGGGAGAATAAGTTCTGAGACTATTTGCAAAACAGAATGACTATAGGAATAATAACATTATATATATATATATATGTATATATATAATATGTGTGTTGTAATACTAAATTTTAAATATCTATAAAAATGTGAACAATTATAGCAACAATTTTCAACTTTTTTAACTGTTGAATTGGATGGTAGTTTATGGTATTATAATACATAACCTTTACTGCATCAAGGTACATTCTTGAAAAACCGAATTTGTTATGAGTGTTTTGTTGGCTGTTTTTATTTTTATTTTTGAGTCAGGGTTACATTCTGTAGCCTAGGCTGACCTGGAACTCATTATATAGCTCAGGTTGGTCCCAAACTCATGGCAATTTGCATGCCTTAGTCTTCTGAGTGTTAGGATTATAGGTGTGAGCTACCATATTTTGCTAGAGTCTTTTTTTAACTTTGTGAGATTTTCATATATGAGTACTATATTGACATCATTTCCATTTGTCTTAGTTCAGATATCTGTTATTCTGAAGAGACATCATGACAAAAGCAACTGTTATAAAGGCAAACATTTAATTGAGACTGGCTTACACTCCAGAGGTTTACCAGGCAGACGTGGTGCTGAAGGAGCTGAGAGTTCTACATCTGAAACAACAGGCAGCAGTAGGAGAGATAGACACTGGGCGTGGCTTGAGCATCTGAGTCCTCAAAGCCCACCCCCAATGACACACTTCCTCCAACAAGGCTACGCCTACTACCACAAAGCCACACCTCCTAATAGTGTCACTCCCTATGAGCCTATGGGGACCATTTTCATTCAAACTACCACACCACCACCCTTCTCTATATCCCCTCAAACTCCTCTCATGTTCCCCTACTCCCTCTCAAATTTATGACCTCTTTTTCATTGTTACTGGTGTGTGTGTGTGTGTGTGTGTGTGTGTGTGTGTGTGTGTGTGTGTTTATTTCTTGGGGGCCCATCCCTGATTTTTTTCACTCTGTAGCTCTTCATCTAGGGGTGGAGCCTTGTGAAACTTTCTTCATTCATGTGGGCATGTCAACTGGTGCTGTCATTATGTAGTTTTTGTTTAGGCAACAATATTGTTGAGGTCCTATAGCTGTAGCACTGGAAGTTTTTATCATGAAATGTACTGTTGAGCTACCTGCAGATTGTATGGTGTGCCTCAGTTTCCAAACTTTTGTGAGCTGTCACTTATGTTGGAGTAAGCTTTGGTGGTGCAGCTGTCTTTTGGTTATTTCTGCTTCTGTAACACCTTACCCGTATTCCTGTAAGTATCCCCCAATAAAATTCATTAGCTCTCTAAGATAGACTTGGATGATGTCCATGCTTTTTCTATTTTCATTTCCCCATCTGAGGCGAGTGGGCGTTTCTTCACATCTCCCCAGGAATAGTGTCACACAACAATATAATACTATATCTTGGAGAATGTTCTGTGTGTGCTTAAGAAGAATGCATTTTTGTGTGGCTGATTGGAACATTCTGTATAGGGCTTGAAAGGATCATGTAGTCTAAAGTATAATTCAGATCCACTCTTTTCCTTTTGATTTTCTGCCTGGATGATCTGTGCACTGTTGAAAATGTGTCAAGGTCTTCTACTTCTGTTATGTTCCTTTTATCTCTTCCATCAGAACATTCAGTAATTGCCCTTTGTAATGGTTGCTTCAAAGTTGAGTACACATACATTTACAGTTGTTAGATGCTTGGCCATAATACCATTAACTTGTCTCTTTGAATTTTTTTCTATATTCTATTTTGTTTGATATATCAGCTACCCCTACTCTGTTTTTCCTTCTATTTGCATTGAATAACCTTTCCTGTGTCTTCATGTTCAGTGTATGTGTGTCCTTACTAGTAAAGTGAATTATTTGTAGGCAATGTATAATTAGATCTTATGCTTTTATCCATTCAGCCACTCTATGTCTTTTGGTTTGGGAATTTAATTAAATTATATTAACCCAATTATTAGGAGGTAAGGATTTAATTCAGCTATTTGTTTCCTGAGAGTTCAAACTGGTGGGTCTCTGAATCTTGCTTATCTTTGGCTCTTTTTCTTCTGTTTGTTTGCTTTGTCCAACTTCAATGTGATAGCATTTGCTTTCTCTTATTTTATTTTGTTATATTTTATTATTATCTATTGGAAGCCTGTTCTTTTCTAATGAGAGAGAGAAAGGGAGTGGATCCAGATGGGAGGGGAGGTGGGTAGGAACTGGGAGAAGCAGAGGAAGAGGAAACCATAATCAGGATGTATTGTGTAAGAAAAGAAGCTATTTTTTAAAAAAGAAAAAGTTATGATGCTAACAAGACACAGACGTGTGTGTGTGTGTATTTCAAGCTTATGAAGGTATTAAGTTAAAAGTAATTATGTTTTTGTCAAATAGAAATTTAGCCAGATGGCATATACCTTTAATTCTAGCAGAGGCAGGTAGTTCTCTGCGTTCAAGGTCAGCTTCATCTACAAAATGAGCTCCAGGACAGCCAGGGCTGTTACACAGAGAAACCCTGTCTTGAAATGAAAATTATATTTGTGTTATTCTAAAATTAGAGCTCACCAAATATCTTAGCAGTATAGAATGTATGAAGTTGAAATACTGAGACTTAAGGAGTGATGAGCCAACCCTTCCTAAGTTAACTAAAGGCTAGAAAGTTTTCTCATGCGCTAACTGAATGTGTTCTAAACTTAATGCTGTGTTATTACACTTGTTTCATACATGTAGGTATCCTATCTCAAGACTGAAGTGTTAAAACAAAAAGGAGTTGTAATGGGGCTGGTAGAGATGAAGATGTTCTAAAGAGACATTTGTGTCTCTCATTCTGACTATGAGACTATTCAAACAGTGCCCCTGATGGGGGAACTCCTTCTGTGTATGTTTATCTTATTTAAATAAAGCACTGTTGGCCAATAGGGAAGCAAGATAGGTGGGACTCTAAGTCAAGGAGGATTCTGGGAAACAGAGGCACAGTCAGTCACAATGTAGGATGCCAGAGGAGTAAGAGGTCCAGACCCTTTCTTCGGTAAAAAAAAGACCATTTGGAAATACTCAGATTAGCAGTTATAGATTAATAATTAAGTCAGAGCTAGCTGATAAGAAACTATAGCAAATGACCAACAGCTTGATAATTAATATAGTGTCCTGTGTGTTCATTTGGGACTGATGTAGCTCTGGGACCAGGCTGGTGGGAAAGAATGCTCATTACATGACCCCCCCCATAAAGAAATGGGAATTTCCCTAGGAATCTTATGCTGGAAGAAAGAAAAGGTCTTAGTCAGAGGGAGAAACTTCTGGAAAGAGGATTCACAGTTCTAATAATTTGTCAGATCACCTCACAGGATGAGATAATGATGGCTTAGTGGTGGGCAAGACCACACTTTACCTTAGATTGCCTAGATGCGCATGTCTTTAACTCTCAATTTAAACTTTAATCTCACTTCAAAACCTAGAAGTTGGACTGGCAAGGTTCACTGAATTGCTCTGTCCCTTTTCCAAGTGTGAACCCATTGAAGACATTCACAAGAAAACAAAAGGAGGGAGGGAAGAAATAGAAAGAAAGAAAGAAAGAAAGAAAGAAAGAAAGGAAGAAGTTCTTTATGAAGAAACAGTACCGTGTGTATCTTGACTTTTCAATATTCTAAATGATGTAATCCTGAATTGACTGTCAACATATTTCTCTGTTATCATTTTACCTCATGCCCTAGATAGCACTTTTCTACTCAAATTCTGATTTTCTAGTTCAAGTCACCAAATCTCATCTTACTGACTTTTCTTTCATCAAGCAAAAAAAAAAAAATACTGTAAACATCAGTGTGGAAGATTGGCAGAATCTAGTCTGCAGCGAAATTTTCACTATTTTTGTATCACTAAATATGAGGTTTTAAAATAAATAATAGAAAAATGTTTATGTTGAGTGCTTTTTTGCACTATATTCTGCTTAATAAGAGCATTATTTTTTATCAAGTTGCAGTAAGATTATTGATACTTATGGAAGACCTGCCCTTTCTTGAACAGAAATGGAAGGGAAGTGGATTTGGAGTGGGAAGAGAGGGGGTGGAGGGAGGGTATGGGAGGAGAGGAGAGAAGGGAAACTGTGACCAAGATGTAAAATATATAAATTTATTTTTTAAAAAGAACATTACTTTAAAATTAGCACAAAATATATCCACCCATGTAAGGAGAGACTTACATACCTGTAGCACTGACCATGTCCAGACAGGTATGTGGGAGAAGGCAGGGCATAAAGGACTAGGAGGACGTGGTCACTGCTCTCTTGGGGTTCTCGTAGAGGTTCAGAGGCCAGCAGGGGGCTGACCTCAGGTTCTTGGCTTCTCATGTAAGTGACTTTCCCCTCAATAAATACTATATGACAACCTACCCTGTGCAGCTCCATATTCCACATTACACCCATTTTATAGATTGCTTCTAAAGGTTATCTAATATGCAAATGTAGATAGATAGCAGGTAGAAACTAATAACCAGCATGTTCACATATAATTATTATTTCTTAATTGCCACTGTTATTTGTACAATTTTTATGCACAACTGTGTTTTGCTCATTGACATTGACTATTTTGACATTTTAGAATACAAACTGAATTCATCATTTGTCTCAGCATGCTGTGTTGCTTTAACTTCTTTAGATATAGTTTCAGCAACCCTTAAAGCAGAATTTAATGAACTGGTATTTCCTGCCTAAAGTATACAATATCCAGGGTTCTGCAAGTGAATCTAGTTAGATCCTCAGCCTGAACATGGTTTTGCTTTTTGGAAGCTCTAGGTTGGCAAAGTGGTATATAAGTACGCTTGAAAAACATGCCATTTTCTGACATGTCAAGAAGCAAGTGAGTACTTCAGAATAAAACTCTAGCATAAAAGTGCCATCACTGCTGAGGCACAGCCTAACTTTCTGGCTTTGTGATACACCTCTGCCATCTGTACTCTTCCCTAAATATGCATGGATCTACTTATGATTTCTGAGTGTATGGTTCTTATTTTTAGATTTCTGTTGTTCTCAGTGTAAAATCTTTTGTAACTTCTGTGTGCTGCTTATAGTCTTGAAAGTGATTTTACTCAGACATGTTCTGTTCAGTGTGCCCTGACCCATTCATGAGTATTGATTTTACTTTCTTTGCTTCCATTATATATCACACTTTATTAATTTAAAGTTTAAAAATTTTGTAGTTATTTCTCTCTCACTAAGTAGTTGGTGTCTTTGAGGATAAATTGCGTTATTTAAATTTCATCATATAAAAATAAACATTTTCACATACTTTTTTAAGAAGTTGTTTTGGAGTGGATTTGTGTGATCTATCTTCATTGCTTCCTCTCTTGCTATCTCCTTGGACAATACATCATCCAGGGAACAACCAGATCCCCCAGTGCTGACTCTATGTGACTTCTGATTCCTACTCTGTTATTGTATCCATTCCTTATTTCAGAAGATTGCACCATGGTCAGTGTTGCCTACACATCCATTGGCAGATTACTCTGGCAATGTACTACTGACAAGAGTCACCACAGGGAGAGACACACAATGGTGGATCAATTTAAGGAGAAGGGGATCACACCATTGGGCATTTGGGTTACACAATCCCATTAATATAACCACAGACATCCTTACTACGGCTAGAGTTCCTTTTTTTTAGTGCTTATACCATTCAGACTAAGCTGTATCCTAAGGTAGTACTTTTGATTCATAACTACTTTCTAACTTCTACGATCGAACTTTTACTTCAAATTAGATTAAACTCCTACTATTAACTACTGCAGAAGAATCATAAGTTCCAGGTAAGTTTGACCTGTTACAGCAAATCCCTGTCTTAAAAAAGCTATAATCCAAGGCCAATACTAACAAAACCCAGAGAGTTATCAAAATAAAATTATAACATTTGAGATATGATTACAGTAATGAACAATGTGAGTCTCTACACTATTGCCCTCATTTCTTGTTATATTTTTATTACACTAACCCCTCCCCTGTAAGTCCCATTTATAGAGACCCAAAACTATATAAATGGCTAGAGGGACTTTGTCATGAATTTCCATCATGACTGACAATCAATGTGAATAAGTAAAATCATGCATGTTACACCCATATTGAAAGTTCCTCCAAGGCTTAACCTTCTCCCAGTACTAAGTTTTCTATAATACTCAGTGGAAACAAGCTGGACAACAATAGAAAAGTTGGCTGCCATATTAAATAGTCAAAGCTCTTAAGTGTTACCTCAAAGATGGCTCTACTAAAAATTTATTAGATCCTATGTAAAACTCTACCATCTCTCTGCTAATAGGGCAGGAGAGTTTCTATCCA